GACTTCCAGTCAAACACTGAAAGAGACGATAGTTTTCGTTTGGACTGAGGAAGCAGAACATAGTTGTTCTTGGTAAATAGGTTGATGGAACCGACGTTCCTACGGAAGTCGATTCTAGGAGGAAGCTTATTATTATTATTATTATTATTATTATTCACAAACATCTTATGGGTACATAAGTGTTGTGAAGAAACCATTTCGGGTTTCTTCAGAAATTGCAATAATACACAATTTTCAATAATGTTAGCATTATACTTGCCATATTTAAAAAAAAATAATAAAAATAAAATAAAAAATTGAGAATAATAATAGTAGAATATTAATAATAATAAATGGGGTCTTTGTAATTGAGAAGAATATTGAATTGAGTTTAAAGAAGGAAATGGAGAAAATAAGGGAATAGAAATAAAGGAGACGTGAAATACGCAAACAGTCTAATAGGGGTGTTTATGAACACAAAACAAGAATAAACGACTATGTGTGTATCGTTAAATTAGTAAGAAAAAATAATTTATCAATGTAGTAAGATATGACACTAGAATAAATGTTTGTGCAGTTATAATTTAGAGTGATGCTATGAAAGTCACAATTTAGTGAAAAGTATAATAAAATATCACTATGTATGAGTCATATATGCATAGTGAAGATGAAACGAATCTGAGAAGTTAATTAAAGTGTAACACAAGTTATTGTTTTAATTACAAACTTCGTAATCTTAAGAATATTTATTTAGAGGGAAAGAAGAGAAAGAAAAGAAGTGAACACCTAGTGAAAAGATTCATCCATGATAAGAATAATAATTGTGTAATGAATATCAACCTCAGAAGGAAACCAGAAATTTAAAAAAAAATCCTTCAAAGCACTCGGATGAATACATTTAGATTTATGTAATAGTATACAGAGTGAAACCGGATATTAGTATAAATATTTGTGCAATAATAATTAATGTACCAGCTTAGGCTGATTAATTAAGAGTTGAAGTCAAACAACATAGTTAATGTCAAAACAATAGAGATTAAGTAATAATTTACATCCTTATTTCGTATAAGCGTTATATTTCCTACTATCCTTATTGAATATTGAAAAGTTTTGTGCGTTTGAATGGGTAACCTCCCGCTCCACTGTGACTGTCCCACGATCAAAATAAAAACCTACCCACTACTAGCCTGGTTCCGTCTATCAATAGAACAAAGAGTACCTTTAAGTACAAAAGACCTGTACAATGGATTTCACGGTTCTTTAATCATTTGTTACCTTTTAATTGACTTGCTTTCTACAACATATTGAAACACAATTCCATAGCAATTGGTCTGGTGGAGGAAAATATGTCTAAATATCATACTACAATTTTTGTATCACTAACGACACAACAGCTTTTTGTCTATTTCCCATTCCCTTTCTTCAACGGTATTGTCATGACACCATCCGAAAGTATGTGTAACCACCGAAGTTCAAGTATTTGCCCTGAATTCAGAGCCAAAAGCCAAAGCTTTTTATTAAACCGTTCTACGTTCTTTATAATAGCGTACAAAGAGTTTTTAAGTGACTCGTAATGGATTATGTAAGAGCACAAACTCTGTGAGCAACCTAGGCATTTTTAATTTAAAAAATCAAACGAATTGTACCGACAGTTCAAAATGCCTCAAACGATGCAGCCCGTGTTAAGCAGTCTAACGTTTCTTTAGCACGCATTAATAATGTGCCAAACAATAAAAGAATGTCTGTGGTGGTTCAAAATTATATTACCTCAAAAATAATAGTTAAGTCATTGCGTCCAAAAGTTAATGTATTAATATATTAACTAACATATATAGACACAAGAAAAAATTACTGGACGTTGCCTAGATTACCAGGATTTGGCATGTTCGAGTTGCATTTGGTATAATGAGCCACAATTATAGTCAATTAATAATTCCAATATAAATTGTCTTAATTCTAGGAGTATATCCAGATTAAGTATGTTGTAGATCACCAACGTAGATGATCTATGTCGAGATGGTTGGAGGCCTACTCGAGTTAGACGTGAATGGTATGATGAACCAACTAACGTCGAAGTCACACCTCGTGGTCAGCACCTTACGTGGACTACCCCCATTGACGTATCAAGGTACTATAGATGCTTTGAAGACTGTACAACACAAAGGACGTCATTACGGAAATATATTAGTTAAAGTAGATACAAGCGAAGGTAAGACCACTGCCGCATGGGCCAGTCCATGGCATACGACTAACTAATGCGCGTTGGTTGTATATGACCTTGGCAGGGAGCGATGATCTGTTCGACATTCAGTTATCCAACTGCCGGATGATTTGGCTAGGGCTCAGTGACATTTCATTGACCCTACAATGTATTAGAAATATAGCTGTGGTCTGTGAATGCAAATAATAAATATTTCAGAGTTCAGTAATCTTAACAACATGCAATTGAGAACGAGAGACATGTGTGCGTAGTAGTGTATTCATGAGCGGTTATTGGTGCGTCGTGCTATGAGGAATACACATTGGAAGAGGAAGTGTTCAAGATCATGCAATGTTAAGCAACTTTTGTAGTAAATGTATTAATTCTGAGAATTAACAAAAGAAATGCAAATAGTATTAAAAATTAATTATAAAATAAGTTCGTCCTGACTATCTACAAAAGGTTGTTAAATTAGTGTTCAGGAACTGAGGGCAAATCTGGATTTTTCCAGCAAAATGGGGTCAACTGCTTATCAGGATGGAGTAATCGTTAACATCGGGCTATCAGAGATCAGCAATCATCAGCTAGGCCAGGCCGTAACCCTAACTTAAAACAAACATGACCGCAGTGTCAATGGTTCGGCAAGATGTAACAGTAAAACTAAGTAATAAAGGTGTGTCAGAACCAAAGTCAAGTAATTAAAGTCCAGACCATAAAGATTGAAGAACATAAAACCTAGTTAAAAGAGACTTCAGTAAAAGTCAAAATACAAGACAGTAAAGGAGGACTAGAAAATATCTATTCTGTCCAACAAATCACTCTACAGGGATTTTCAGCGTGCTGTTCATGCCACACCGAACACCAAAATGTACATTCAACCACAGCTCTTCTAGGTAACTAGCCCATGAGATTGGGATGTGCAAGACTTACAACAAGACTTCTGAACACCGATAAACCTAGCCTACAATCTGCGGCTTTCCTGCTCCCTCCAGATGACAAAGCCTTCTTACAGAAAACTCTTTCCTACGTACCATGGCTGTTCTTATTACACCATCATTACTTTTCTCACATGTACCAACCGGTCCTGCTGGCCTTGTTTAGCCAGTAGTTAAGTCCTTAGCCACAAGCACTGCCTCACTTTTCCTTGACTTATTATGTTTAAGAAGTAATGTACGTTCCATTTACAGTAACGGAACATAATTTCTCATTCACAAACACCATGGCGTATTGGCTAGGCAGTCCACCTATCTTCGCCGTTTTGAATACCTATCCGCAGTAATTCACTCCATCCATATACCATCTCAACCTCTTATCAGAGCAGGTTGTTAGATGTGAAAGCTTAGTCATCTCTCCCACCCAAAAGTAGGTTATCAAGCTATCACTATGCAATGCTTTTTCGTTAGAAACGACTAGTAGGATACTACAAACAAAAAGTATCAATCTTCCATAAATCCTGTCTCTTTGACTAGCTAGTGGGAGGTTGAAATGCCATCATGTCATTCATCCTGTATTTGTCCCATAAACTCATAGTGTTTCATAATTCCAAAGTTGTTTCAACAAAGTTTGTTCTACTGTCATTAAAGACTTCTTTTAAAGTCCCTCTCGTTACTATAAAACGTATTAAAACAATTATTAAAGCGTCGCCACTCATCTGAAAACTACTTTTAGGTGTGCGAGATACGTAAAGATACGTAAGTGTTCACTTACACTTTTCCATCAGTTCTTCCTCGACGAAATGTTAGCGGTGATTCTCACAGAGGAGAAACAGAACAAACCTTCCCGTGCCCGACACTCATAAAATGACCACATCACCTCCTGACCCAATGTGACTTTCATAAGTATACACTTCATGCATTCACTTATCACCTGTCTAACTGCACTGTTTACTTCAACAATCCGATGATTTCTGCATATAGTAGCTAACACTTGCTCTAAACTTTGCTCTCATGTCTAATATGTTGTATGTCATCACCGTACTCACAAAAAACTGTATCGAATGTTGGAGTTTTTTCGTAGGATTTGTGTTTCTCACCTATCATCAACTTGATTTTTCATCTATGTACTCGGCCTAATAGAGTTATAACTTATAATAAGGAGAGACACAACAACAATGTGGACTTTGATCTGGTGTCGTGGGTATTTTTACAGAGTCAGGAACATCTATGTAGTGAATGCGTCAAGTTGTCCATGCATAAGTTGAGGAGTTTCGTTTACTTTGGCTGAATCCCTCATGCATCTGAGATAGTGCTCAAGCTCTCTGTGTTTACTACACTAAGGTTACTCACACTAAGAAATCCCCCATTCGGAATGCTCTCCTGGCCGAAGTGACCACAGCCTCCTTAGTGGACAGCTTTGAGGGGAGACTTGAGAAGCACATACTCAACCATCATTTACCATCTTCTTCTTCTTCGACCGGGTGTTTCTGATCAACGTCTCGTAACTTATCATTATAACTATCATCACACTCCAGTAACTACTTCCTATCTCGCTTATTATCAACTTCATTTCAACTATTATACTTTCCATTCCATCTTCGTACACATTACCAATGAATTATTTCATTTGTTATGCTTGAAATAACCGTTCTATGTCAGCACCCAAATTATCACTTAACTATAGTCTCATTAAACCGATCGACCTACTATCTGCTGGATTCCCGAAATCCTTGTGCCCTAAGCCAAATTCAACCAAACTACAAATCCACAAATAACAACCAAACTGACTAAAGTTTGTCCAGTCGAAAGGATAGACTACCGTCTATTCGACACCATGGAATACTCGAATGCAAACCGAAACAGCAAGAAAAGAGCTCAAAATTCAATTAGTTCATACAAGCTCTTGAGGAGGATATTGAATATTGGAATTAGGTTTAGCGCTTAACTAAAGTTATCATGCGATTCCGTTCTTAGAGAAATGAAATACTTATCTGAAAGAGTTATTTTGTCTCTGGTTTTGTGTCTTGGAACAATCAACATGCTGGCTCAAAGAGTAAATTTAAGCATAGCAATCTTATGCATGACAAGTCGCTGCACTATACGTGATAACAACAGTACAAGTAATAAATATCCTATTCGAGTTGTTCAGAATTCATCTGGTTGTAGTATAGAGTCATTCAATGAAACAAAGGTATTAGAATATTTATTCAGTTTACATTAGTTTGAACAGAAAGCCTTCACAGATCCTATATTTTATGATGGAGTAGGATTCAGCATGTTTTTCTTACACTCAAGTGTAAGAACGATCGTTTACTGATAAAAAGGAATTATTGTAGATCCAACGACGCTGGTCTAATCACTTTATAAACAGTAGCTAGGAAACCTACAATAACCCAAGAGATCAATTACTTCTGACTTAAATCCCCGAGCTCCCAACTTTGGGGAAATTTGACCCATTTTGAGGAAGCCGCTATGGTAAACTTTGGGGAAATGGCACTAAAACCCCAAAATCCCCCTTTAGCCCTGGTCAGGGTCATTTGGCTTTTAGGGATTTCCCCGAAATTTCCCCAAACGTGGGAGCTCTGGTCATCTTATGAACAATAAGCGTTTTAGTCAGGAGCCCTATGATATTAACAGTTAGTAGTATATACTGTTATTCGGAGTCAGTGGATTATTCAGTGTTTAACTCAGAATTCAGACATTCTGTCATCCTTAATTTGTTTATTAGTCTTACAACTTGATATTACATCACTTGAATCCCCCACCCTTCTCTTTCCATCCTATTTAAAGTTGAAACCCTGAATGAGTGCCCTTTATACAAAATTCTACGTGGCTACGTTTGCTTTTAGAAAAGCTTTGTGTATCAGTATCATGTGCGATACTGTATCATAACGGTGGTTGGGAATGTCTTGTAAAGAATTACGTTCCTAAACCGTCGAGGTTTTTCACAAACCTTCGTACTACTATACTTTATTTAACTAAAATCGGCAAATTACTCCAACGTCCACACTGTTTTCTGACACAGTAAGTGAGAATCGACATGTAAGTAAAGAACGAAGTAGTTTATACAACATTGTCTGCGAATGCCAACAGTCGAAATGGATAGTTGAGTTTGATGCCTAATATTGTTAAGGTTCTAGTGGAATGCATGGAAAAAATACCATCACTCCAAATTGCATCCTTTTAAGTTACCATACATAAAAATGTTGTGAGGAGAGCCATGAGATAAGACATTAGTGGAAGAAGAATAATCGAAGATAGTCGTGATTATCCTAACTTTTACTAAGAGTCTACGTAGTTATTATAGTATAACTGGTTTTGAACAACCACTGTTCCATGTAAACTTTTTTGGCAATAATATTCACAAAGATACACATGTTAGTATTTTAAGTATCTTCAATAAAATGTATGGCCGTGCTTTAAGCCTTTAAATTTTACTCACTTTGCAGCGTAGTGGTTCTGATCTCGAAAATATACTTTGCCAAATACATCGTAGTTTTAGATCTTATTTATTTATTTTAGCAGATAGATATTGGTACAAGGAGGCACCAAGTACATATGCGCCACACAGGTCTCATTTGATACATGTGAATGCTGTGATACTGCCCGGGTTCCCAAACCGAAGCTGGTGGTTTTCTTAGCGGACCACACCCGAAGCCTTCGACCTGAAGGTCTGATCCACAAGGCAGTGGAGCATTGTAAGGAGATGCAGTCCCATGGTAGCCGGTGACCAACGATTGGTTCATACGCCATTTGTTTCCTCAGCATACTGGAGCCCATGTGCATCATGGGTTTGGAATGAGGGTTTTCTAACTCCCCTAGGTGAACTCTCCATGTCTACCGACCCGGTTAAAGCGCCGGACATTCGCTTTTCGTCCTCTCAATTTCGTAAACAACACCCCGGCCACGAGAAGGCAATGAGTAGGACTTTCCAGGTAGAGACTTTATACTCGTGGGCATGTGAGAGCATTTCGAGAGGGAGAGAGACTGGACTCTCCCACTCTTGGCCGTACCAGGGAATTTGGGGGCTTTAGAAGATCTACTGAAAATGGCAATAAATGTGCTGTTACTAGCAAATTTGCTTCTGTCTTACAATAGCTACAAGTCCAGTTTCAGATTACGTGCACAGTTGATCGCTGAAATGCTCTGGAAATAGTATATAAAATAATTAAGTAAAAAGTTTGCTCAAGCTATCTTAACAGTTCTACTAAATTTAAAGTGAAATTACAAAAATTGGTTTGTTTTTCACAGGAGGTGGATTATTGGGTTAAATGTACACCCTCAATGCGCGCCTGCATATCGTTGACAGTTTTTTTTTAGAGATTACACTACCAAATAATTCAATGCATCACGTAGAACTCAAAATGCAAAGTTATTGTCAGTACTGCTACAGTTTTCTATTGGTTCTTCTACAAACTTGGAAGCCCTTTCATCCAAACATTTTTCATTTCAGGCAGTAAACGTTTCTGTGCTAATGTTATGCCGTTTTGTATTTAATATTTAGAAACTAATGCCATATCAGTTTAGTAAGTTTTGTGGAATTTTTCCACCATCAAGTTGCTATCCTGTATTTCTTCTTGTTTTATCCTTGATTTACAATGATCAACGCAAAATTTGAGGTGATTGATTATTTTTCTCACTATTCTAAAATTTTAGACTGTGATAGATGGCCCGTTTGACTGGGATCGCTCAAGTTGGGGAGTTCTTCTGGGAGTTATTTTCTGGGGTTATTTTCTTGGGCAGATACCTGCAGGCATCCTTATTCAAAAGTTCAGCGTTCGCTCAGTCCTGCTTACATCCCTAATTCTTATGAGCACATCAACAATACTTGTTCCAGTGGTAGCGATAAGGTCTCTGTATTTATTTTGTGCCGTACGAGTACTTACAGGATTAACATCCGTAGGTCTTACTATGCCTATTTCTTTAAATCTCTGATACTTTTGATTGGAAACATCAGCTATAAGATTTGTATTAAGATTCTAGGTTGAAATTTTATTATTGGGTTTTAACCAGTTTCATCTACTCCAATGTGAGAATCCAAGTAGTATCTGTAATCTCACAGTAGATGTGATCCAAAAATAAATAAACAATGATTATTCGCTCACATGAAGCTGATGAAATTCTATTACTTTGTAATAGGAGGTAAACGGCCAAGCTGAAATTTAAAAAGACCCTCACTAGTGAGATAATGTCGTAGTTGCATTACATCATGAGTCGACTGAGTGTTACGATGCTAATCATGAGATATGAAGGCCCTGTGGCTGTTCCGCCGTAGTGCAGTTGATGGGCTCTACTGATTAGTCTTAAATTAATATAATATGGAATGGTCGTTATTTCGTTTAAAAGGCTTTCACTTCAACTGATAGATTGTGGGTTTGAAGTGTTCTCCGAATACTCAGGTTTCTGCTGTTTAGTAATATAATTAGCTCTCATATAAGAAGTGTGATGCAACCTCTAGTATTAAATTCACTTGGTATTGGTTGCTTGAATCTTCCTATTGTTGTTTAGGACTACAATTCATCAGTATCTTATTGGTGTATGTGCGTATTGCGAGTATTAGCTCGATATTGCCTTAACTCACAAGCATTCTAAACAATTATGGATAGTGGCTGGTAGTAGAATCCAGGACACGCGTATCGTCCTATTCGGGAGTCGTCAGCCGGATGTACCTGCATCTCAGACTTGATGTTCATTCTGGAATTCGAACCCAGTACCGTTTGCCTCAAACGCCATCACATTATCCACTTAGCTACTAAGTCCTGATAGCCACTTGTTTGTGCAATGGGGTGAAGTTTAAAGTCACTTGGTACAGGTTGCTTGATCAGTCTCTTATAGGACGAAATGCGCTTCCTGGATTCCACTGATAGCCATTATCCATCTTTGCTTAGAACCCCTAGTATTGTTGTGATGTGCAGTGTTCCGAAATCTCACTTGATACATGGTATGCTACGCGCCAACTCCCAATTGACTACTTGAATGAGAAAGTGTATTGGACTACCGAATAAAATGCACAAAACTCAGCCATATATATACCAGTCTATCCTTAGGAATTTGACGGTAATGAAATGCACTTGACCTTTAGGTCACATCCGTTTGCCATTGATTGACATTTTGCTACTTCTGATTGGCTCTCCATATCAAGTATCCCTACTTGTGCCACATTACTGGGTTACACTGCATTATCATTGGGCTGAATCAGATCAAAATTCCATGGTTATGTGATTTACAGTCATTTTTAAACCAGTTACAAAAATTACCTCCATGAAAAGTACGAATTTATAAAAACGAGAACAATCACGATTTAAGCTAACGCGTTTCCAAAAACAACAGCTTTGGTTTTAATAAAAGCTCACTAGGCGATGACTCGATGTTTAAACTGTCCGGCTTTTATGTGTTGTGTCGTGAATTTGTACCTTCCCCTCCACCTACTTCGCTTTTAGCAGTTGAGTAGTAGCACAAGATATGGCATATCGTCTGACCCGAGGTCGGATAAATGAATCCCCAGTGAGGATATTACACTGGATAAAACAATAAAGATGTTCTAATTTATTGGTTTCGTCATCTTTTACAATGTTTATGGGGCAATAAAATATTTAACCACAAAATATAATGGACTGATATAATGATACCAGACATACTACACCGATCAACACGAATGGTCATTAAGTAACTACTAACATCACAAATAAAATAATATATTTGTAATATCCTAATGAATAGGAAAATTGGATTTTCTGACGCTTCGTGACTCACCTACTTACCCGGTGATCCCAGCAGATGCCAGCAATATTTCTAAGGCATCTGTGGTCAAATACTAGTAGCTTACGGGTGTCTTCTACTCTTAAGGGCCATGTTTCGCTGCCGTAAATTAAAACAGAACGAACTGCCGCGCAGTATACTCGTCCTTTTATTGATAGACGGATATCTCGCCTCCGCCAAAGGTGACGTAAGTTGGCAAAAGCCAAACGAGCTTTACGAATCCGTGCTGAGATTTCGTCAGACACCAACCCATTAGGGCTGATCAGACTTCCAAGATAAGTGAAGTTGTCAACACGTTCGACTACTTCACTCCCTATCCTTAGTTCAGGTGTTGACTAATTCTTTCTTCCTATACTATATCCTTATTGCAATCTTTCTCCTATATATTACCACCTTTGACCTAACCACTCCTATGAATCCAGTGTTCATCTTGCTGTGCTAATGAGGTATGGCAACCTGGGCCGATGCATACATGTGCCTGGTCCTACGTTGTAGCTGACTGACTGACTCTGACTCATTGGGATATTCAAATATATTATTTTATTTATAATCTTCCCAATGCTCAATTTATTCGAAATTGTCAAGTCAAATCTTAGTATTGACACCTACTGACATCAAAATCTCTCAGTTCTTAATCAGCCATAGGAATAATAGATGATATAACCTGTAACTGTGAAGAACTGTTGTTTTAAGGATATGACTTTATTATTTATCTGGACACATGAATATTGGTACAGGAGAGCGCCAATATATATGCGCCACACAAAACAATGAAAATTCGAGAGGAATACAAAGAAAGAAAAAAAAGCTAAGGAGCGCAACAAAAAAAAGAGAACAATAACGAAGAGATTGGTGTAAGGTAATGTGCTAGTAATCAGGGAACGCAAAGGTACAATCGGAAGAAATCTTTCAGGTAAGGGAGACAGAACCACTTTTTATGAAGAAAGTAAAAGAAGGTTACAGCAGGATCGCCACTGGCTTCTATTCTGAGCCATATCCAGAATGTCGTCGATGGCAAATTGGAAGAGTAATGGTGAGATTGGGCAACCCTGCCTAACCCCACTGCTCGAATGGAACAATGGAGAGAGGTGGTTGTATGCCCTCACTCTGCCTGAGGTGTTTTTATATAGGGCTTTTAGGATGTTAATAAACTTCTCAGGCACACCCTTCTTCAATAGACAATCCCAGAGAACAGTCCTGTCCAACGAATCGAAGGCAGCCCTGATGTCAAGAAACACTACGATTGTTGGCCTTTGATAAGTATGGCGGTGTTCTAACATTTGGCGGAGGGTGAAGATATGATCAATACATCCTCGACCAGAACGAAACCCAGCCTGCTCCTCGCGAGTCAATCTTTCTCGGGTTTTGAACAACCTACGAAGTATGACGGAAGCCAATAGCTTGGACGCAATCGGAAGTAGACTTATCCCCCGATAGTTGTTACAAGAACGACGTGAACCCTTTTTAAAGATAGGGACAACTATCGACTCATTCCATGACGTTGGTACACTCTCTAGTTCCCAAACCTTTGTAAACAACGTCGTCAATTCCTTAGTCAAAAAGTCACCACCATCTTTAAAAAGAGCCGGAGGTAAGTCATCTGGGCCAGGTGATTTGTAACGCTTCAAGAGTTGGAGTTCCTTGCGGACTTCCTCCTCGTTTGGTGGATCAGTCGTCACCGGCCATGGAGGGCAGGACAGTCTGACCGATGTTGCCGGAGCAGCAGGCCAGTTGAACTGCCCTTCGAAAAATTCTGCCCATCGTCCAAGACGTCGATGGATGTTAGTGATTGGCATCCCATCATCCTCGCAGATTGTTTCACTCACACCAGACTTCTTGCTGCCAGTGGCTCGGATGAGCTGGAAGAGCTTCCGGTAGTTACCAGATGCAGCTGCTGCTTCCAGCTCATTAGCACGCATCGACCACCAGGCTTCTCGGTCCTTACGCAAGCTTTGCCCAATTTCCTTACGTAACATCCTTCGTTTATGGTCAAACTCACGGTCACCCGGAGTAGACCGACGGGCTTCAATGAGTTGTAAGGAACCAGAAGAAACCCAGTGCTTAAAAGCGGGACGTTTCGCAAACCCACAACTGACTGTTCCCGCCATTTTCATGGCGTCATGCAATTGCAACCAATGCTCATCTATACTTTTCGGTGGAGTGGTAGCTAGCCTAGAGGCTAGCTCGGTTCGATACTTACTTGCAACAGAAGTTGCAACCAGCTTGCTAACATCAATCCGTTGGGGGTGATCACTTCGTTGTCCACTGAAAAGTAAGGCAAGATTGGCGCAGACCAAGGCATGGTCAGAGTCCAGATAGGTACTCCAAAAGGAGCGGCAGTCTTTTACACAACCACGCCAGCGGTAGCTGATCGCGATGTGATCAATCTGAGTCCAGGCTTGAGATGCAGAGGGAGGACGCCAGGTGGCACATCGGCGATGACTGTGCCGAAAGTTAGTGCTAGCCAGAAACAGGTTGTGGTCTGTGCAAAGTTGCAGTAGACGGTCCCCGTTATCTGACCTGCGACCAACGAGTCCCCATCGGCCACCTAAACGACTCTCTTCTGTGCCTAGACGCCCGACCTGAGCATTCAAGTCTCCGGCTAGTACTACAATATCTGTCGAACGCACTTTCTGGAGAAGAACAGATAACTGGTGGTAAAACTCATCCTTGATTGCATCCGGGCTGCAATCTGTCGGGGCATAGGCGGAGATGACGAAAAGACATCGTTTCTCACGCCGATTTCTTCTCACTTTGATGGAACTTTCTAATCTAACAGCACATAACCGACTGTTAATGGGGATCCAATCGACTAGTGCTGCCTCAGCTCTAGCGCTTAGTGCGACACCAACGCCAGCAAGACCAGACGAAGATGCCACAGGGTCCCCGGATAAGCGCACGTAAAACAAGCTTTTCGAAGCGACAGATGGAGATCGAATTTGTAGTACTTCGCCAGAGTCTTGAATACGGGTCTCGGATAGACAACAAACATCAATATTAAGACTTTCCAAAGACATAGCCAGCCCTATCTGTTGTCCGACCTGCATAAATGTGCGAACGTTGAAGGCAGCCAGTTTGAATGGTGCACGTGGTTTCAGAAAAACTGCTTCAGTACTCATATTCGGTGGTAACATACAATTTTCAACCGGACAGTGACTCGAGAACGTTTAGATACAGTCGGATTTCCACCAAAGACGAGCCGCTGTATAAGTATAAAAGAGGGTGAATAATGTGGGAAATAATAATAATAATAATAATAATAATAATAATAATAATAATAATAATATTAACAATAATTACAATAATAGTAGTAATAATAATAGTATTAATAATGACAATAATTGTAATGATAATAATCTGAATCAATTGTTTGTTTTTCAAAGCGAGAAAGGTAATTTCCATAGGCATAAAGAGTTCATCAATTTGTGTGTGGGCTATGATACTCCCCGGGTGCCCAAACTGACTTTACATGTTTTTGTGTTTAAGAAACCCAGAATTGGACGAGAAAGGCAATTAAAATTTATTCTGACTGGTCCAGCGTGTGGAATAGATTGAAATATGAACTAGCGAAACTTTTATTTCATCGACTACCAGTTTTAATTGTTGATATCTAGCTAAACTATCTTTTGCTAGTTTAAAATAAGTATGGAAAAATTATCCATGCTTCATCCCTGTTCTGTTCAAGTGACGATATCATTTCGTTAGTTTTTTAATGACCAGTGTTTGGAACTTGTTATTCACTAGTTATATTTTTAAACATAAGTTATTTATTGGTGTTTTAGGCAAGTTGGTTTCCTGGATTCTACCAACTTTGGGCTGCTTGGGCACCTCCAAATGAGCGTGGACTCTTAATTGGATTTGCTTATGCAGGTAGCATCCGTAATAAACTTCCTGTTTGATTTTGTTTTATTGTCTTTAGTCTATGGTTCCAAACATATAGATTTGGAATTTTATCAGTAACTGTATATATGTATAAGCTTTGTATAACCATGTATTCACTTCAGTTAAAACGTTTATCATAAAGGTTTTTTTACATTATATCTCTTAGTAATGTACCAAAGAGATTTTAGTCTTGTCCCGTACTACAGATTTATAATTTCATTATTGTAATCAGTCTGACTATATTGTTTTACATTGAATATTATGATAGGACTTCATGTAGGTAGTGCTATTACAATGCCTATTACTGGTGCTTTGTGTCAGACATCATTGGGATGGTCACTAGTTTTCTACTTCTATGGTGAGTCAATCATTTTTGTACAAATTAAATTTGAGATGCTACTAATTAACAAAATGCGCATTTACATTTTAAATATCACGCCACACTTATCACTTGATGGATCATAGTACTAATTGAATGGTGAAGTCAAATTACGTAAACTTGTCTTTTAACATATGATCGAATAGTTAAAAACACAATTATAAAACTAAAGAACCACATTTACACTATCATCAATAGGAAATTAAGAGCTTACTTAGGAATGACTCTGTTAGCTATGAATCCCAGTTAAACATTTTGAATATTGAGGGTATTATGTTATTTGTCCAGTAATTCGATGCAAAGAGATTATTTATTTGCATATTAATATACGTTTCCATTCTACTTAAAACTGCAGCTTGACGATTTAATAAATATCATTTTTTCAAATTTGAAATCAGGATAATTTCAATCTTAAACTTGTGAAATATTGGGAGAAAGCTTTTAAACTGACAACACTTAATTTAGTAAATACGTAGAAATTTTTAATAGTGCAAAAAAAATTCCTAAATATGAATTTGACTATACCCTTAATTGAAAACAAGCACTTATTTACATCTCAATATCGAAATGTGATTCGATGATTTAAGTTTTATGATTCTATTTCCTTGATGTCTTTATCTCTTCAGAAATTTAAACTACCTCTTAGAATTATTAGTTTTGAAATGATAATTGTGCTTCAACACTTAACGAATGAAATTTTGATTATTTATTTGTTTGAACACATAAATATTGGTACAAGAGGGCACCAAATATATATGCGCCACACCATATTTGTGTGTGTGGGCTGTGATATTGCCCGGGTGCCCAAACCGAAGCAGGTGGTTTTCTTAGGGGCCACACCCCGAGCCTTTGACCTAAAGTTCTGATCCACAAGGCAGTGGAGCATCGTGAGGAGATGCAGTCCCATGGTAGCCGGTGACCAACGATTGGTTCATACGCCGTTTGTTTCTTCAGGATACTGGAGCCCATGTGTACCATTGGTTTGGATCCGGTTAAAGCGCCGGTCATTCGCTTTTCGTCGGATGAACTCGTACATAATTGCTAAAATTAAGTTTTACTTACTAATTTAAATATCTCTATAATTCTACCTTTGTGCACTCTCTCACTGTTGATGTTCTTTTTGTGGTCATATCCTAAGTAATTCTGTTCATATCTTGTTTTAATGCTTGTTGTTACTAGAGTATCCCAAGCCACTTGTGAACACATAGCTCTCCTTCATCTTACTACGGCTAATTCCATACCATAACGATGAATCATTATACAGGAACAATAGAAGTTGGATACTTCAGTAGGGCAAACAACATACTAAAGGTTATTGTTCGTGTGATAATTATTATGCTCAAGCATAAAGGTTTATCTGTTTTCCGAATAAATGAGTTATGCTTATCTGACTAAGATGGACAATCAAACGCACTTAATTCGCTGTGGGAACATCGGTTTCTTAAGTGATGAGGGGCGCAAAATACACTTGGTAGGTGGTTGAAGGCATTTGACAGAAAGCCCTGAACATACGTTTTGTACTAGCTGAAATTGTTCAGCGATATGTATCCGTAATCATGAGATTTATGTCATTCTTCGGATATGAATCCTCGTCACCCACGTTTGCAACCAAAGACTTTGCTACTGAGCCACTCAAGGCGTGAGCAACTTCGTACAAAACTGAGATATCTATATTGATAACTACTGAATAGTAACCGATGTTGTGTTTGTCCAGTTCTTAATACTGATCAAGTTCTATGGATTACGTTGCAAGCGATTCCAAGTCACCTAGACATGTAGCCACACTGAAAGTCGTAGACATACACTTAGTTGACGAGAATTAAGACACACGGAGTCTGGGTCGACAGACTACTTCCCAATCTGCTTCGAATATCCAACATCAAATATAAATTTATTTGATCAGTTGATCTAACAACAAACTGGTGCTTTTAAACATTCATATGTTTGCCTATTTTTAAACTTTCTTATAACATAAAAGGTGCAGTCAGCTTTGTTTATTGTATGATATGGTTCATGTTTGTATATGATGAACCTAAATTAAATCCAAGAATATCTATGAAAGAAAAGACTTATTTAGAATCAACCTGCCCAGTTATAATGAAAAACAGCCAAGGAAAGGTAAGTAGCGTATTGTAAATTGAATCGAATTAAAAATCAGTTAATTTACATAATATTGTCATGCTTAAATTAAAAACCACTTACGGTCAATAATGTAATGGAACCCATTTAGTTTAACTTGCTGAGACATTGATTTCATTAGGAATGATGGAAGAACAAACGATGAATTTACCATGAATATAGATCCTACGTTTGGTTTTGTATATTTTACTTAAGCTTGGGAGACGGCTGTAATAAAAGCCAAATACCAATTAAATAAGACGAATTTACTTCAGGCACTCGTTTACTCAGATGGACAGTAAGGTGAGAAGCGGTGAGTCTGAACGTGCCAACTCCAAATATCATCAATTGCAGGTGTCAGTATACTTCAAAATACATAATGCGTAGTGCATCGAGACGGCTATTGGATAAAATAATAAATGCGCAAACACACAAATACAATAAGATGCACAACAGTAGAATTACATGACATAAATATAAGAGGCATATTCACTGGTCACAATTTCACATGGAAAGACTTGAGTTATTGTGATAGTAAACGTAACGCATTAGTCACATGTTGCCTGAGTTACTAAGTCTGTTGAAAAGCTAGGATGAATTATGTAAATGTGTAATGGTACTATATGCTACAGACCAATTAAATTGTTTATTAACATTAATAGCATAAGGTAAAAAGAAGTAAACAATCTACTCACTTAAAGTAAAATTAATACTCAGTATTTGGTGGTTTAACAGTTCACAACTCAGATTGACGTTCTTGTATCATGTACTTGAATTACAGATAGTTCCATTCAATGCTACAAATTATTATCTTGAACTGCATATCATACTTTCAATATGTAATCCTTTTAAATGGAAAAACCCAGTACTAAACAATTCAGTGGATAATAGCTAGGAGGAAGATAGTTTAATCAGGCATTGAATAAAAGCTCTTAATTCTATGTTTTGAGATTTACTTCATGACTTGTCAAAGTTGTCTAAATTTTCTGTATTGCAAACACCAATTTCTGAAAAATAATTATATCTTCAGGTAAGTTTAGATGACCAGATACATGTTTATGGAATCGCTTACTGTTTGAATAAGTTGTTGAAATCTTGCTGTGCTCAAGAATTTGTTGAATGTTGGTAGTTGGAAGAAACCCTAGTTGACATAATCTTAATCTGATTATATAAGCACACCACATCTTTGTCTTACTGTGAAGGCTGAACATCACAGGGATCTCATAGCAGGTCGAACCTAGATAATTTTGTTCGAAGTTCACAAATATTTTCCATATCCACTTTTCTGATTTGAGCACACACAAAATAATGATGTATATTGTAGTATTAGTTTAACAGTTTTTACAGTGGTTGATCTCGAGATGTCAGAGTGACACTAGTAGGTGTATAAATTTGTATTTAAAAATGTTTCACCTTGTTGTTTATTCACTGAAGTTTCAGTTGCATGATAGTCACTATATATTGGAGATGACCATCATAAAACCGTGAAGCTATTGCTCGAACACCAAAAGGTTACAATATCATCACCCATACGCACTGGATTTGGTTGATTGATTAGCATTAATTAGATTGTTGATTATTTCACTTAAAGTTCATAAGAAGCCCAAAAACTAATCAACAAAAACAGTTTACTCTATAAACTACTTCACTAAACTGATACATTTATTTATTGGCTCGTTGTACATAAAACTGTATAGGGTGTCTATACTATTCAAAGACGACGAGAACTTGTGAAATTTGTCTAATAATATTTTACAATCGGTTTACATTATACTATACAGGTATAATATTTGCTTCAAGAAATTAGAATTATGAGTAACCTATTAGATTGTTGGATAAACTTCTGTTTTTCTCAGCTGGATCATGCAGAACTTCCTCTATCGGGTTGTATAGTAATTATTAAAGAAATCAATAGAATCAACAGTTTTTATGTATTTCAATACAATAATGCATAATCAGTATAAACATTGAGTAACCTAATTATAAAATTGATAATATGTTATTCGATATTCGAAAGATACAATGAATGATAAAGTAAACAATATTATCATTTTGATGTCATTTTAGGTAAAAAATTTATTAGGTCATGCAAAATTAATTTTATACATTATTTTAAATGTAGATCCCAATAAAATCCATTTTGACATCACTCCCTGTTTGGGCATTCATTGTTGTAAATATTGGCATAGATTGGAATTTATATACATTTCTAACTAGCGTACCAACGTATATGCGTGAAGTGTTGCACTTTGATTTTCAACAAGTATGTTTTACCCTTTAGTCATTGAAAAGCGTTTGGTTTAAAATTTAGTAGATTTGTAAAATATTTCTCATTATTTCATTCGTTTGGATTGTTTAAAAAAAATTAACACAACTTTCTTAACAACAGAGTCGTTGACAACGATCATTGCAGCCAATATTGAATACATCAGATGTTTGACTCCAACTTGTTGCATGACTTAAATATGAGTTTACAAATTTCAGTTAAACACGACCAAACTGCTACAGTGTTGTGGTTGTGATGACAAGAGTTTCTGCAGTAACTTAATTTATTGACGGTGTACTACACGAGCGGACCTCAGTTGGAGTACAGATGAGAACTGTGGTGCAACAGACAATTGTTTCTTACTGTTATGGAACTCAGTACTGCTCATGCAAAACCCTATCGAGAGATTGAACTCCGGAACTCCTGGTCTCCCTGCGAGCGTTTAACCATTGGACAACTGGAGGGATGAACATTAAAATGAAATATCAGTTCAGTACTGATCAGTTCCCAGTCTTTAATATATACAAATGAATAATAAAACTTACCTGGCTTTGCACAAACCAGTAGCTGAGCGGGTAACACGTCGGCGTTTGAAGTGAAAAGGTACTGAGTTGTAGTCCTGGGATGAGGCTACATCCAGCTAACGAGTCCTAAATCGGGTGGGACGCATGTTCTTGATTCCACTTCAAACTACTATCCAACTTTACTTAAAAACGTACGAATTAGTGGTTCAGCATGAAAATAAACCGAAATTCAGACAACTCTAATAATAACAGTAAGATTCTAACACTACAAATAACTCATTTTACCGACTTACGTTGAAAACTACTTAAAGATTATTTATTGATTGACTGATAAGCATTACATATGTAAATATTATGTTGTTAGACTTTGAATATTTGCATCTTATAATGAAAATAAAAGCTGATAAATAATGCAGAAAATTGTCTGGGAATTCTTCAAAACGTTATCCATTGGTAACTAAAGCTTCTGTGACTAATGTGCTAATCCTATAAGTCTGTTTTTGTAGTTTGAAAGAAATTTTGATATGCTACTTGTTTAACCGATATAAGATTATATGCTAAGTCTTATGCCACCATATTTTTATCTACTGTAATTTCACGAATATTCCACACTACACTTCCTATATGAAGACAAATAGCACTGAGAAGTGCTTATTAGGTTATTCTTATTAATGTTATTTCTATACTAAACAAACAGAGACATATAAGAGATAACTTGGAGTTATCATTTAAGATCAACGCAGTGAATGGTGTCACTGAAACTATTTATCCCCACCGTGTTAATCTGACTTTGTGACGCTTGAGGGAACAGATCATCACTTCTTAGACTTATCAGCTACCTATTCCCGATACAGATATTTTTCAACCACTTTCGACAATCTAGTGTATTTATGAATACTTTGAATCCACAACTACCAGTTGTCCAAGACTAATTCACATTTGTGAGGAATATAAGAGTTTGACTTCTGAACTGGAAACGAATAATATGTCAGTAAAGAATCGGAATGTGCTTGAAATAACCAAATGTAGACCGATTTCAACGTTTTCGGCGAAGCTCTACAGTTTGTGAGTATCCAAGACAATTTAAGTTGATGAAATTCCCAAACAATAAATCACTGATACTTTAACGCCTCTCTAATTTTTGACGCAACTTTTCAATGTGTAATGCCTAATATACTAGGTAGTTGGAAGTAGTAGACAAGATACCCTGGACCCAGGTTTAGTGTTGTCACTCCCCACCAAGGCATACCCCGACCGTTGTTGCTACCTTGACGTGGTGGTCGGGCTTGCCTATCGTGATGAAGTGTTATGACTGCGAAATATTTGCTGCGGATTAAGGGTAGCGAATTATTGATCGGACCAAAGACGCGCAAACACGTAGAACGACCTAGGGTTCTGATTGGTCCTGCTTCCCTGTCCAGCCCAGTCAGTTGAGTCCAGAACACAAGTCACAGCCTCGGAGATATGAATCATTATATTTCAAACATACTTTGTTTATATACCAGTCAAGCATACCACAGCGTACCATAAAAATAGAAAACATTTTGTACAAGTGAACAGATATCGACCAATAGGAAATGTCCATTTAAAGTCCAAGGACACCATTGAACTTAACATGATAATTATTGGTCTATTCCTGCGCATCCACAACACCCCTTTTTTTTGAAGATCCGGATTTTGAAATTTTCTGGGTTCACCCTCCCCCACGAAATAACGTTGGGTCCTCATATACCCAAGTAACAGTTAGTCTGATTCGAATTAAAGCATATTTCGCGCATTGAGTAGAGGGTTCACTAAAACTGACTAGATGATGAGGATTAGCGACACCAGACATGAGGTCATTAAGGTTTGATTTTTGTGCAACATATTCTTCAGACCTCTCCAAAATTGCATCACTGGATAATAGGTCACCAAAACAAACAGCATCTTTGAAATTCATATTAGATTTCTGACCATCATTTGATGCACGGGAAACATTTTCTGGCACGAGAGGTTCTTCTTGTAAGCTGGATACCTCACATGTTTCAGGCACAGTGGGATTTGAACCCACAACAGGGAATGTTTCTGAATTTGACATTTCTGAACAACTGGGCGGATCATGAATGATTGTCTCGTTTACATCACTGGTCGTCCGGGGTTCACAGAGGCTTTTATAGGCAGCTTCATATGTTCTGCAGTTGTTTTCCAGCTCAGTCTGCAGATGAGAAATGAAATTACCAACTTCTGTTGCATTTCCGAAACATGGAAAATTTACCAACAGTGTGCGTAAATTTTCTAAAAAATTCAACTGGCTATTTTTGAAACACTGCTGTTTGCTGCTCAAGTAGAAGCTGTAATTGATCGGAACAGGCAGTCATTTTTTCTTTTCAGCAATAGCAATGAAAATTAACTGTAGGAATAATGACCAATGTTGCTCAAGGACGCTGGTGACAATCTGGATGCTGATTGGTCGAAACAATTAGCCTGAATCGCGTCCAATTACAAGGTTCAAAATTTTTCTCCACCCCGTCGCCAATTGTTATGACGGGTGTGACTGCAGGTCTTGTTAAGCAGCGTTTATTGATCGATTCGGTGAGAGTGACACGGAAAACACGTAAGGGACGACCTAGTACCCTGATTGGTCCTGCTTCCCTGTCCAGCCCAGTCAGTTGAGTCCAGAACACAAGTCACAGCCTCGGAGATATGAATCATTATATTTCAAACATACTTTGTTTATATACCAGTCAAGCATACCACAGCGTACCATAAAAATAGAAAACATTTTGTACAAGTGAACAGATATCGACCAATAGGAAATGTCCATTTAAAGTCAAGGACACCATTGAACTTAACATGATAATTATTGGTCTATTCCTGCGCATCCACAACATGAAGCAACCGAGCTATACTGACTGAAACAACTGTTCTTCAAGGTGCTACCACGTCAGAAAAGTCGGTTGAAGAGCGGTATGACTAAATGCAACAAACCCAAGGTCCGAAGGCGAAGTCGTACTGCTGACTATACAGAGGTGTGGCAGCAGTAAGGTGTTTCCTTCAGACAACCAGCATGACAGCGATGCTGCCTTCCCACAAGGAGGGGTGGAGTTAGAAAAGGTCGACCCTAAAAATGCACACCTCGCCTTATCCCACGGATATCCGTCTCCGGCGGTAAGGTCTCAACAAGTACGGAGCTAACACAAAAATTGCCCACATAAAGGTCGTGTGTGACCGACCTCACACAGTTGTCCCTTGGGCACTGCGGTCACGCTCCCAGGTCATTAAGACCACTTCTAATCCAATTTCCTTTTCAGGTGCCTCCAGAAGAACCCCTCCACGGTGTTGGCAACCGGGAAGTGATAACCGCCCTCATACCTTAGAGGAACAGATGTTCCTTGCGGGATAGAAATTTCCGTCTTCCAGCATCACGTTAACATTAACCTACCTGAGCTGTGACTCACGTTCTATTCTACTAAGATATCTACAGTTAATTAGTCAATGTGTATTCACCCATTTGATGTTTTATGCTGATTTGGCTAGACAAGAACTTAGCAATCAGTATCACGTACGAAGTTACATTGAAAGTTTAAAACTTAGTGCGTCTCCGTTAGCTAACCATAGGTGAGGCCATAGAAATCGGACTTTTCCTACCAATTTCATGCATACTAAAATCTTCTGTTTCATCCTGTTTCCCGTGGCCTTCACCCACTATTTGGTCACAACGTTTATGCACTTTTATTATTTAAGTTTATTCTGATTATATTCATTTTCAATCTCATTCTACATATTACTCATATAGACAAATAAGCAGGTAGAATGTATTTGTAAAGTCTCAGCGAATGGATTTAAAGTAATTTTAATGGAGTTCTGTCATTTGAACTGAATGGTTTAGTCGTGGAGTTTTGAGCGTTGTTATGAACGACATTATCAGCAAAAACTTTAGGTAGAAGTGAGATGATGAATAATTACTTGAGGGATTTTATAACAAGGATAATTAAGAACAAAGAACAAAAAGATAATAAAAAGAGAGATAAACAAAAAGAATGGGCTAACACAGAAGAATCCTAACCCTACAAAATATAAGGGTATTCTTTCGAACAAGCAATACTCTAAGATCAAACTAGTAAAAGTCAAAGACTCAATACACAAAGAGGAACAACAAAACTGTTTATGAAATCAAATGTGGTCACTAAAATGCTACATATGTGGGTGGAACATCAAGACAACTAAATATGAGAGTGAAGGAACACAAACTATGCCAAAAGCATATTCCTAAATCCTCAGATGATGTAAAAAAACCACTTGTAAACAAATCAGCAATAGCATTACACTCAATAGAATCGGGTCATACAATTTGTTTCAGTGGTACAAGAATCCTTCAAAAAGGTTTTAATTCTTACAAAGAAGGACTAATAGCCGAAGGCCTACATACATGGGCAAATCCAAATAGTACTAATGCCGGCTCAGTGGTCTAGTGGCTAAGCGCTCGCGCGCGAGACTGGTCGGTACTGGGTTGGAATCCCACGAGGCGGGGTCGTGGGTGCGCACTGTTGAGGAATCCCACAACAGGGCGAAACGGTCGTCCAGTGCTTCTAGGTTTTCCATGGTGGTCCTAGCTTCAATTGACTCATGATCTAAACTATTGAAATTTCTACAATCTCCACAAAACCCCTTCTAATACATATTATATTTGATAAATTTGATGTTTGATTATATTTCCTTGAAAAAACCTGGACCAGATTGCCAGGCGAAACGTTGGATCTATTACTTCAAATCCATTCCCTGAGATTTTACAAGTAGTTTCTTTCGTTTCTAATGTCTCACATCAACTCAGCGCCCAAATACTTTGGAACTATTCGATCAAATTTAGACGAATATTCTTATACATTATTCACATAATTTAGTGACACTTTATTTACTTCTTTCTTTTTGTATCCACATCGCCATATTTTTATAACTTGTGACCGCCAATTAAGGAGCAGTGACTTATCGACCGAACCAAGGACGCGTAAACCCGTATGAGCAGCCTAGGGTCCTGATTAGCCCTACTTTCCGCCTAGCCCAGCCAGTTAAGTCCAGAACACCAATCTCACCCTCTGCAATATGAATCATTATATTTCAAACATACTGAGCTCATATACCAATCAAACAGACCATAACGTGCCAATAAAATATGAAACATTTGTACAAGAATTAGCCAGATGTGGCTGTGAATGAGGGAGGTAGTGATTAATATACTGGGTATAACTCAAGAATGGTAAAACGCATAATAATAGTTTATGGGTCGAAATAAAGCTTATAATAAGAGGTATATGAATATGCATAGTCTAGTTACTTAATAATAATACAATAGAAATATACGTTTAGTGTTGGTCCATAAATGGATCCCAAAAGTTACCATTCATTATTCTTGTCGGGACACAACACATATGTCTTTAACAGACTACGAATATACCTGCATGACATTGCAGTTATGGTCACCAATTATATTTTTATTAACCACAATTTAAATGTTCCGAATTAATATTTGCATACCTACTTGTAAGGCATTTTGAGAAATTACCAAAGAAACGTATTCGTCAAACAGTTTTCACAGCTGTTCCGATTCAGTTTTTTAACCGGTTTGGATCCATCTTAGTTGTGAAAAAGCACTTGTTATTTGCTTCGACCTTCACTCAATATTCATCAAGCTACTTTCTCCTCACTTTATAAATCTAACCATTAAATAGTAAACTAGCACACAATAGTGTTTTAGTGGGGCCCGTAATTTTGTCGAAAGGGCTTTCCACTTTAGTGACCCGTGGATCTGACTCCATTTAGATCGTACGAATGTTCATTATCACCTCTCCTCGTATACAATTATCGACTTTAATCACGTTAGTCGATAACGGAATTTAGATAAGTCAATTAACAAGAATGGCCTTTGAATACATATATTTTGTATGTAAAGTGAATGAGATAGAACAAAGCGAAATGACGCGCAGGGGAAATGGCTGGGAAGCCAACTCCATTTCTAGCCAGGCGTTACTCAATACTTATAGGCAGACAAAATAAATTACAGACATGTGATGAGACAGGGAATGAAGTGTACACACATATACGCTCATATAACAACAATCAAGACTGACAAGCGAATAATTGACAAGGTCAACATATGACTCAAGTAGAATGAATAGATTGATTTGTCCAAAAACTAGAATAAGATATATTATGGGCTTAAAATAATGACTGATACTACAGTGTCCATGTTCTAACTGCAAGGTTTTGATTTGCTGAACATGACTATCCAAGACTAATCTTGTTAGACTGCAACAACTATTCGTGACACTTATTATCCTTTCATCTCAATTCAATATTGTAATTTGGGGGTGGAAAATTTTTTTTATGGGGTGGGGTTTTCTTTTAAAAAATGGCCGGTCGGACAATATTATTCTCAAGGGTCGATAGAAGGAAATCATTTGTTACTTTGCGATATTCCTTCTTTCTTTTCGTGATTATTTAAATTGTACCATCAATATTCAGTATTTTGTAGACCAGGTAACATTTTCAATCCCCTAATATTTCCATTTTGTTGGTCAGCGGTCCTGTCATCCTATATCTATTCAGTTGAGATTTGGTTAGAAATTCCATGAAAATTAATTAGTTTGATCGTTCAACTCATGCATTTTATTAACCAACTATACTGTCATAATACATTTTCGTTCTTGGAGCCATCGTTAACCGTCATAATGATTAATGATCTAATTGTCTTGTAGAATGCTCTGCTGTCTTCCCTACCATACATCGGCATGTGGATAGGACAACTAATATTTGGTTGGATATCCGACATCCTTTTGACTCGGCGAATTCTAACTTTGAGTGTTGTTCGTAAACTGATGAACAGCATAGGTGAGTAGGTCTGATTTTTGTGCTTAAAAGCCATTCACTTGGAGAAAATAAATACATAGTGTTTACGCTTTGTAAAACAACAACAATGACATAATAATTTCTTTGTAAACAATGATATATAATGAGCGAGTCATTAAGATCAGAAAAGTTCTAAATAAGTAATTTCATTATATGTATATGTAGTTTGACTATAAGCTGTTGTTAACTACTATGTTTTTTAGGACTAAACATTTTGTTCCTAAATTATTTCATTTTGATTGAAATGACTGACAAGCAGACATTTCACTGGTTTCATCAATTCTTTTAGACTTTTATTTATAGCCTGAGATAAGTTGATAAGGAAATGCTCCAAAATGCCTGGTACGACCAAGGGTGGAGAGAGTCCGCTCTCAAACGACCACGCGTATACAGCTACTGATAGGGATGTTGTGCTCACTGCCTTCTCGTGATGACAGCTGACGAGAAACCTCAAAATATTATGAATTCATACTGTTCTGCATCAATATTTGTTCTTGCTTGATTAATCAAACTTCCTTTTCAGGTTCCTCAAGAAATACCCTTTCACGATGTTATATCCGAGCGAAGATTAAGTCACGAGTAACTTCTGAGACATATTAATTGACTAATATTATGGTATAACTATTCAATAATTAGATTATGTATATTTATATTCCTCTTATTATAAGCTTTATTTTGACCTATAATTTGTTATTGTACGATTTACTGTTCTTAAGCTATGTTCAGTTTATTGACTACTGTCTCCCACGTCCACAGCCACTTCTTGGCATTATTGTCTACAAATGTTATTTCTTATTTTATGGTGCGTTGCGGTCTGTTTGTTTGATATATAAATCCAGTATGTCTGAAATAAATGATTTGATTCGATTCGATTCGATTCATATTGTAAAAGCTGGAGTCAAGTAGACGGGCTAGGCGGACATAGGACTAATAAGGACGCTAGACCGTTCATACCGGTCGAACGTCATTGGTTTTGGCACAGTGCTAAGATTGTATAAGTCGTATTTTGATTGGTGGATAAATCACGTGATAAAAGTCGAACATAAGTCATAAAACACACGGTGTGGGCAGCCGGGAAGTGACATCAGCGCTCATACCCGTAACAACACACGAGGCCAAGCTGGTCACATTCAAATCCTTCCTACACCTCCTAATACTGACTGACTCATGAGTTTTACTGGGCTGGTGTGTAACAATATCTACGCACGGATTCCAAATGCTCGACTGGTTTTTGACAACTTGTGTCACTTACATTGTAGGCGAGCTATCCTTTTGGCAACTAACGGGCGAGTTTACTGCTCAGCATTTCGATCCGTTTATCTGTGAGTGTGAAGTACGGCCATTAAAAATAGAGGTTACTAGCATTCGATATTAAATGTCTTTGAATTATTGCTCGTATGTTTTGAGACCACCGAATAAGGTGTTGGGGATAAGGAACTTGATAATGATGGGGAGTCAAGTGATGAAACAATAAATATCCACCGGTAAAGGTGGTTGTGACGTGTGTTACATACGGCCGCCCACTGTCAACCTCGACAGTGTCTGGTGTAGGAGTAGGCTGGAGGAAATCTAGTTGTGAACAGGTCACGACGTGACACTAGTCTGTGTAGTCATTGACAATTGGCCTAATTGTTAGGATAGTCGGAAAAATATACCAATAATTATCGTGTTAAGTCTATGGTGGCCTTGGACCTTAAATGTACATTTCTTATTGGTTGATGTTTATTTCACTTGTTAAATATTTTGTAAATGTTGTTCTCTATTTTATGGTACGATGTGGTTTGTTTGTTTGGTATATAAATAGAGTATGTCTGAAATACAATGATTCATAACTCAGAGGCTGTGACTTGCGTTCTTGACTCAACTGGCTGGGACAGACTGCGAAGCGGGACCAATCAGGGCTCTAGGTCGTCCACTACGTGTTTACGTGTCCACTGTCACAGAAGCGATCAATAAATACGCTGCTTATCAAAACCTGCAGTCTCACTCGTTACAACACAAATCATGTAGGTAGATCTTGACTGCCTGTTTGGGTTCTACGTGATTATCGCAACCAACGGTTAAGGACTTTGAATGACATGACTCAAAATCTTTCTCAATTTCTGAAAGGCATCCATTCTTCATCTTCCCTTGGATTTCAAATTTCTAAATTCCACATAATTTTTGTATTTCATCTTCATACATATATCTTGTTTTTTCTTACCTAATTTTTCTTAATATTGCTGGTACTGTTATTACTTCTAATACTCTGAGATTGATCTTGAAATAATTTTATCTCACTGTGCTAACGTGCTATGTCAACTTAAAGCGATTGACACATGTACCAGGTGCAACATTGTGTTTAGTTGTTTCACCTTCAGATTTTTCTTATTTTACTGAGTAATTCATGTAAGCAGCAATAAACCTTTCGGTCCTAGTATTGGGTGGTTAACATTTGACCTACTCGTTGGTAGATACCTTCTATAGTTCGTGAACAAGTTACTTTTTGTGAACCTTAATGAATATGAAAAAGCACTGTTTCGTCTAATCCTTTCGTGATTTATGTGAATAAATTATTAAGTTAACCCTTTTCTTAACCATTTCGTTTATTTGTACGATTTTAGATAAATACTGAAGCGAGCTTTCATAGTTTAGAGGAATATATGACTGAAGTTGAGAGCCATTTCCAATTCATAGATGCCAAACGTCAAATGATGTCTAGAACTGAAGTAAGTATTTAACTATTAATTTTCATGTATATTGTAACTGTTTTATTGTAACCAAGATTCATCGAGAAATGACTTCACCTTGTCCACTGGCCATCATGTGAATACATCTGCGAGTAAAGGCTTCGTAGTAGTTTTTCTTAGCTTGTAGCGTGGTGTCGAGTCGAGATTAACTATGAACACCGCTACCAAGAAACACGTGCCAAGTAAATCAGAAGGCGAAGGTTGAACGTAACCAGATTTATTTGGTTGGCGATCTCGTGGTATTGAACGAATACCAAGATCGTGCCAAGGAATGGTACAAGTGGAAGCAGGAGAAAGGAGTACGTGGGGACAGTACCAAAAACCGCGGAACAATGATGGAAGGTAATGGAAGCACAAAATGGCTATAATTAGCACAGTTAAACAAAAGCACATTAAAACAAACACTGGTACAGTTGGTTATAATAATAATTGTTTTTATTAAACCAGTCGTGTTCTCGTGATAAATGTGAGTCACTACAAGCTAACCACTTTTTAAAATTCGGACATCACAACAGTGTTTCAGCTCATAAACTAATCATGATCATTGCAAATAAAGTACATGACATATTCATTTTATAAGCTAACACACTCAAAGTCTAATAATCCTATTATAGGTCAATAATTACTATCTGAAATTATCTCAAGTCTCTGAGTTGTTTTAGTTAAATAATGTTTATATTTCTAGTTGTGAAGATTCAATCCACTCAGTTCGTCTCTGTCGTGAATTTTTTCTTTCCGAAACTGTACTGCTCAACAGTAATTGCTACTATATATTGGAGTAAAGCCTAATAAGAATCTAGTTAAAATCAGTGTTGTTCAGTTATATTTATTGCTCGCCAAATATGTAGACAGAAATTTCAACATTTTAACTAGCAGTGGATTAATAAATACGAGGACACAAAACTTTTTTATCAAGTTAATGATTATTGATGTACTCTGTATCAGAGCTGGTAAACTTTTTCTTAAGTTATAGAAATTATTTGACATGTGGATATACCTGACATGGTTTGTAATCAGTCACGTTTTCTGTGCATTGTGAAACGAGCAGTGTATCCAGTGTTGGTTGACTTCTGATATTTTTATCTTGCATTTTTTATACAAAATCTTGTTGTTATATAATCTAGTAATTTTTATTTTGGTATAAAATAAGTTTCATAAATTCTTTCGATTAGGAGTGGAGAAATGACATCAAATCGCCGTTTCGTCATAATGTATATCACCAATTAAAACCAATACAACGACGTGTGTATATAGCTACAGACGACCCTAGTGTATTTAATGAAACTAAATTAAAGTATCCCAACTATATATTTTATGGTAATCGCGGACGTGCTAATTCAGCTTCTGTCTTCAGACGAAAAAATGAAGATTCTATTATGGGTGTGGTAACTGACGTGTTCGCTTTATCAAGAACGAATTATTTAGTTTGCACTTTTTCTTCACAGGTAAGTTAAATTTCTTGTTTTGATGACGATCATGGCAACTTGTAATCCCTTGTCTATGATGTGAAATTCGAACCAGCTTTATCTGAATGCCGATCATTTCTTGATCCTACGTTGATCATAACTGACTTAACTTCATAACCTTCGAGTTAGACTTTAATTTTGTGATGTTGCGAGCTGATAATTGTCTGAGTAACATAGATTTATGTATAAAGTGGATAAAAATCGGTTTGTTAAGCGATGTTTCATTCTAAGTAAATTCGAGATAAAATGTTGACTATCCTAGTGATTTGAAATCGAAATACTACAGAACGTCTTTGAATATGTATTCTAAATGTTAACTTGATAGATAAGTGGGATTCGCTTGGATTCGGAAATTACTACTTCCTAGTTTCATTCAGTGTTACAACTTCTAATACATTTTGACATGTATGCATTTAGTTTCTAATGTGTCGGTCAAAATAAACAGATTTTACTGCCTAGTTATTTCGGACCTATCAGATCGGACTATAGGGCAGTAGAACAGTTGTACTGATCTAGTCCGAGCATCAACTAGTTCGCCTAAACTATAAATCTAATACTAATGACCGTCAGCTAACCATTGATATGCTGAATGTGAGATAACATCCAAGAGTAACTAGTTAATTATTGGCCCAGAACTCAGTTTCCCATGCTTGCTTGCCTGATAACCAAAATAGAGAACAACCCAACAACCAGATAATATCTGATTATACGTTTTGAATCTATGAATACCTCTTATAATAATGTAGAGCGAAATCGTGACCACACGTTAATAGAGTTAATGAATTACAATATGGGCACAACTGTGCCATAAATGGAAGAGAACTGAGTGGTAGGTCCTTCATAAATTAATTTTGATATAGGAAAGACGAAACAAGATCTTACAAGTGGGGAATACAAAAATGTGACGGTTAAACTATTTAAGAATTATACAACAAAAATGTCAACAATAACTTCATGTAGGATCGTTCCGAAAGTTCTCTTTCGTTTTATATTTATCCTGATATAGCAGTTTCATTGTAACTCACGGTCTGTTGATTACTCCCACTGAACTAATTATTCATTGTTGATTTATAAGTTGTTTTTATAAATATCTTCACATTTTCTATGGAAGTTTATAAGCTAGAGGATCAACATGTAGTGGTTTCATACTGACAAAAAGTACCAAAGGTAAATTCCAAAGCTTGTTTACCTCGTATTATAAATAGTCGATTAGCCCCAGACACGATAAATGCAAAGTACTGAATTTCGTTAATAGGCATTTATCTGTATATTATCAACAGTCATTTTTGTAGCTATCCTTCCATTAATATTCTTGCTTTGTTCGTTTGTACTATTTAAACTTGGGTTTATTTAATTTGGTTATTTATTCTCTAAAGAATTGTCTTACACTGAGTCACGAAACTTCAGAAATTTAAGAACCCTATTTTTTTCTTACTCATAAGGGTATTACAAATATATTATTTTTATTAACAGCGATCTACTCAATCCTCAATTCATTTCACATGATCAAGTCAAACCATGGTATTGGCACCTATCCTCATTTCGTTCATTTATTTTAATAGTTTAGCTTTAGTCTCCTTTCGATTTTACCCTATTCTTTCTTGTAACAGGTTTGTCGATTAGCTTACGAATTGATGCAGTCTAATCATTTAGAATTAGGTGATGCAAGTCAACAATTTCGTTCATTGGATGATATATATTACTTCGGTGGACAACAAGCCTCACCATATGAAGTATTAATATCAAGCACAGAACATGGTTTATCTCCTGGTGATTTAGTCCACTTCCATGGTAATCATTGGAATGGTTACGCAAAGGTTGAAAAATTGAATACTAATCGTAAAGTAATGGCACCAGCATTTAAATTCTCCCCAAGATTAATAACTGCTCCTATGATCGGTGCACATGGAAATCGGTCTGAATTTATTATTGATTATAAATAATTGTATTTTTCTAAATAGGAAGATTATTTTGTTCATGTTTTTCTTCTTTCCTTTGTACCACTAACTTACTGATTTATGGTTTTATATTTGAAAGACATCGAACCTCATTTTTTTATTGTAGCGTCGATGCTCTCAGCTAAAGACTTTATAGATCAAGTTGAAGTTGATCTACATATATATGGCAAGTATTGTGGAGCGTATGCTTTTCTGACTTCATTGTATACACGCAAATGTTTATACACATATCCTGTGGTCTTGATGTGATATATATATTGACTGCACAATTGTATGATTGGTGTTTGTTTGTTGTTTTTTTGTGTATCGTGTATTCCATGTGTTGTTGTGTAGTGTAGTGTAGTGTGTAATTTGTAAAATACAACATATCAGATGAATGAGTTATTGTTTGGTGCTTTAGATAGTAATGTGGAGTACCAACAACAGATAGCCTTTTATCTTTGGAAAGATGCTTGAATGCAAATATCACCAAGTTCTACTGGTGGGATTCAATCAGTAATTATTTGACATTAAAAACAAAAAACATGTATTTGTAAAATGTCAGCGAATGAATTTGAAGTAATAGATCAAACGTTTCTCCTGGCAATCTGGTCCAATCATTTCAAGGAAATATAATTCAGCATCAAATCTATCAAATAGAAATAGAAATAAGTACATGGTTCTCTGGTTAACTGTATGCTAAATAAGTCATCTAATCAACACTAACAATGTTTATTTTAGTGTGCAAGAGACATGTGGTGTGAAATGAAAAATGTGTTAACCTAACAGATTGTGTGTATTCGTACGTGGTATGAGAAGGGATCTCATTCACTATATATTATTGCCTGTGATCGGTGAATTTTTAAGAAACACATAGATATGATATAAATCAAAAATATGTCACAACATGCATAAAATGAAAATAAATAAACAAAATAAAAAATGAATTACAAACAGATGGCTATCAGGACTCAATAACTAAGTGGATAACATGATGGCTTTTGAAGCGAACGGTACTTGGTTCGAGTTCTATAGTGAACATCAACTCTAGCTGACGAGTCCCAAATAAGATGAAAGATGCGTCCTAGATTCCACTATCCATCTTTGCTTAGAGTTAAAGCAATCCGCACATATGCCAGTAAGAGACTGATGAATTGCTGTCCTAAACAACAATGGGAAGATACAAGCAAACAACATCAAGTGAATTTGAAGGAATAAATGTTTGTGTCATTTTTATTTTGTGATGTGTTTTAAAAATTGGTTAAATGGATGTACTCAAAATTCTTGTTTTCACATACCTATTGATGAGGGTAGTATACTAAATAATATTCGAATCTACTGATAAATTTTAACGAATGGGTTTCAAATTGAATTGCAGGCTGCACAACTAGATCACATGTCAAAACTAAACATGAAACATTGTGTCTGGTTACTAAGTTGTACCACTCGTTTTAAATCAATGAGTGATAAATAAAATGCACAAGATGATGGATAGGTAACGTTATGCTAGCGATTGACACTTTAATGCATAAAAAAGATGGACAAAATATCAATTAGTTGATTTCAAGTTGATCTTTTGATAAAATACATAGCTAATATCAGTAGAATGAATCTTATTTCAGAAGAGGTTTTGTGGATATTATAGTAATCTCAATAGTTGAGATCATGAGTCAATTGAAGCTAAACTACCATGGAAAACCTGAAAGCAATAGACAGCTGTTTCGTCCTATCATGGGAATCTTCAGCAGTGTGCATCCACGATCTCTTACAATCATTTGACTGTCAGCTATTTATGTGATTCCTTTTAGAAATTAATTTTCTAACCACAAACTTACCAATCAAATGCTTTGGATAGGTTTATTAAATATAGATCATTTCAAACACAATAAAAAATATTTTTATGTCTAAACATCCATCCCTTGACTTTTCATTTTTGTTTTAGAAAGACAATAAGATGTCAGATATAAAATAATTCAATGGACTAAGTTTTGTATTCTTACTAGAATTTTAACAGTAAGTGATGGCTTTTCTGTGTAATATCGACCACCTAACTGAGAAAAAAATTTACTGACTAGGGTAAGCGTTTTATCGTTCGATATCTGACTTCATTAAGATCGTACGAATGACTGCTGAATGTTATCGAAATGCACATTCCCGCTACCCTTGTATATAATCATTGAATTAACTTGTATTAGTGAATAACGGAATTAAATAAGTCAAATACGAGAATGGATTTTTGAATATGTATATTTCATGAAATTGTTGATCTGAATAAAAAATCAGGGGAACCAAGCGAAGGAAACGAAACAAAGCGAAACGATGCGCAGTGGAGAAAGCCAGTGAACCAACTCCATTTAATCAAGCGTGAGTCAATATTTATAGTCAGAACAAAAATAAGCTACAGACATATGATGAGTAAGATGAGAAATACCCACACATGTAACTCAACAAAAATTGACTAACTAGTCTGTTCGAAAGCTAGGATAACCCATGTGGTCTCGACATAATGCTAGACACTATAAACATTCACTTGATCAGTTTCTAAAGTTCATGATACTAAGTTGATGTCGTCCTGACAACTGCATCCGGTTATTTCGCATAAAATATATCCCGACACATCCTCATAAAGTATATATGGTGAATAAACAATACTTTTACTGTACATGTAAATATTTTATGTTGTGCATAAACCGATATAATAATAATACAATACAATTTCATACTGGGTATTTCGAATTTGAGTTTTTGATTTTGTCTTTTTAAATTTCTAGACTTTTTGGGATCCGTACTATTTTGTTAGATTATTTCAAATATTTTCTGATGTCATAATTCAAATGGATTCAAGTAACTTGGAGAAATTGCCCATCAACACGTCACCCAGAATAATGGGGAATTATTTGGAATGTTTTGATACCTGTTGTTTGTTAAATAACTTAAAAGAAGATAGCATTTCAGTTCATTTTATTACTGCTACTAGTAGAGAAACCTAAGGTTTGTTAAAGAACCTTGCACATCGTGACAAACCTATTCTACTTCTTAAGCAAAGATGGATAGTGGCTAGCAGTGGAATCCAGGACGCGCGTTTCGTTCTATTAAGGACACGTCATCTGGATGTACCTGCATCCCAGAGTTGATGTTCACCTCGGGACTCGAACCCAGTACCGTTCCCTCCAAACGCTATCGCGTTATCCATCTTTACTTAAAAAGCTTATGAATTAAGGCTATATCGAGGCATCCGCACAGGATGCACATATGCCAACATGAGACTGATCAATTGCAGTCCTACATAACAATGGGGAGATACGAGTAAAACAACACCAAGTGAATCTATTCTACTTCCGTTCAACAAAAAAAAAGAGGTGACTAACATATCATTATCACGTAACACATGAAAGAGCATAGTTCAATAAATTATTTCGTGCTCCGAATCAGACTATTAAAGATTTCACACTACAACTTCAGATAAAAGCTTCTGAGTGTAATTTCGGTGAACAGCTGAATATTCAACTTTGTGACCGCCTGATTGCTGGTATAAACGACTTTAAATTACAGAAGCAACTTATACAAATTTCTTCGTGAAATTTTCGAATAACTAAAGACTTCTGTTTTATTTATGAAGATGTTAATAATGATCCTCGTGATGGCGTTACGAGACAACATTAAGTTTTATCATCGAATATGAATAGATTTTCTGCATTGTATAAACTTCTAACAAGAACAGTGTCGATTCATTCAGACAAGTGAATAATTCGGAAAACATTTTGATTCGTCTTTGGGCATTGAATCCTGCCTTTTATATGAAAAGCTTTATCTTTGCATTTCATGTCAATTTCTTTATGGACGTCATAGTAAATGTGGCAAGGTTGAATATACACAAAAAACTTATCAAAGCTCCAAGTCATTTACTACTAAAACCCTGAACGATGGTTGATCAAGACTAGCTGATTTGGACAGGAGGATAGATTCATTGTCACTCACCACCGCTTGCAGAAGTAGTTCACATTTAATGTGGAAATTAATGGCTAACACTTATTTTTAATACTGGTTGGATGGAGTCAATTATTTCTCTCCTGTGAAATATTTCAGAAGGTTGTTAATCACGTTATCACCAGTCTTAATAGTGTTAAATAGTATCAGAATGATATCATAGTTCATGTTGAAAATATTAGGTTACATAATGAACGTCTCTTAAATTTATTCGGACACTTTTATGACACAAATGTGTTCGTAAACTCATCCAAGTGTCAGTTTAAACTTAATTCTATCAACTTCCTAGTCTATAATGTAGATGCTAAGGGTATTAAACGTGATATGAGCCGACTAGATACATTGACTCAAGCATCGTCACCTGTGAGTTTCTCAGCACTTAGATCATGTACTGATAATCTTCAGTTTTATTACAAATTTATTCCTAACTTTACAAAAGTATTGTCCCCACTTTTTGACTTGGTTTATAGTAGAGAGTTTGCATGGAAACTAAGACACAAGACTATACTAAGAAACACTTAACACTTTAAATAGGCAGGCTTTCCTCAAACTGTTTTCACCGACTAAAAAATCTATCCTAAGTAAAGACATTTAGCGGATGAAGACTTGGTAGGGATACTAATAATAATAATGCCTCTTACAATCCAATCTGCAGTATTAGATGACCTTCATTCCACTTATCTCAGAGCAAAGAAAATAAAATCACTTGCTCGTCAGACTTGTTGGTGGCCTGAGATTGACGCTGATATAAGTCGAAAACCTGTTCCGCGTGTTTACACTATTTATTTAAAAACGTAGATATTGGTACAAGGAGGCACCAAATATATGTGCGCCACACAAATCATTCGATTTGTGAGAGGGCTGGAATACTGCCTGGACGCCCAATCCAAAGCAGGTGGTTTCCTTAGAGGGACACACCCCGAGACATTTAAATAAAGGTCTAATCCACAAGGCGGTGGAGCAACGTCGGGAGATACAGTCCCACGTTAGCTAGTAACCAGTTGGTTCATACGCCATTTGTCCCTACAGGATCCTGGAGCCCATGTGCACCATTGGTTTTGAATCAGGGTTTTCCAACTCCCCTGAGGCCTGAGAGCGTGTCCGCATTGACCAAGGGACAACAGCTTGGGGCCAGTCACACACGACCTTTCTTTGAGTAATTTTCATGTTAGCTCCGTACTTGTTGAGACCTTAACTCCCTGTACTATATCCTTATATGTAATCTTTGTTTTATTTATTACGACCATTGAATTAACTACTTCTATGAATTTGGTGTTCATCTTGCTATGCTAATGAAGTATGGCAACTTGGACCGATGTGAAAATGTGCCTGGTCCTACGTTAAAGTTAACTGACACTTCGTTGTTTAGTATATGTATATACATTATAGTAAATTACGTTCTTTAATCTAT